ATTAGACATCCTCTTTGCAATTTTTTAATTCAAACCCCTCTGAAATTTAGCAGAAAGAAACTCAGGGGTCGGCAGCACACCCCTATAATTGGCAAATTTCACCAATTCATTAAACTTTGCCACATAGGCATCAATAGTCATGGTACCCTGTATCAACTTTTCAAACTCACCTTGTTTAGCTTCCCGGACATCCCTAGGAAAGTATTCCTCACGAAACAGTCTCTCAAATAAAGTCCATGTAATCTCTTCCCCTTGAATAATGAAAGGCTGAGATGCAGTGTACCACCACTCATGGGCATCTCCCTCGAGCATATAAACAGAATACAACAACCTCTGGGGACCCTGACACTCCATAACCTGGAAGATTTTATCCATACCTCTCAACCAAGTAGTCACTACCTTCGGGTCCCTTGACCCCTGAAATGATGGCGGCTTGTGCTTTCTAAAAGAGATGAGTCTCTGCTCATTAGTACCTGCCAACACTTGCCCAGCAATCCCAGAAGACTGAGCAGCAACAGAAGGATCCACAGAAGGCTCTGGGATGTAAGTAGGATCAGTAGTGTGGTGACTAGCCTCGCCAGACTGACGACTAGCACCACTCCCCTCCTGCTGAGGAGTAACAGATGGCGTACGGGTAGCAGTCTTCGTAGCCGTATATGGAGGAGAATCATCCCTCCTATGCCGAGCCCTGTCCTCCCTCATCTCATTCATGAAGGCATGCATCATATCCTGATTATTTTTCATCAGGGTCTCGGTCATATTTCTATTGGCAGCAGTCTCTTCCTGCAGTGCATTCAGGACTGCAGTAATAGGATCTGGTGCTACTAAATGACCTGCACCTCTAGCTCCACGGTGACCCCGTGCCCTGCTATACAACACAAGATACAGTACTACTTTATCAGAGTTCCCTTACAAAACTGCTCTGATACAATAAAATGTGACAGCCCGTTACGTACCGGTACTGTTAACATTAATTATGATATTAAGCGCAGTTACAATCACAGCAACTCATTTATAAAAATACGAATAAACTTTTTCCGATTATTACGCGAGCATTTAAAACAATCAAACGCGTAACAATTAAAGCTGTGACCGTAACCGTAAACTCTTACGGAAGACTTATTTAAACTATTTTTATAACTTACTTTACTTATTACAAGTTACTAAGGGATTTCCATAAACCCACTTAGCCAATTACCAACCTTTACGTTTTTACCTTTTCGAACATGGTTCACTCATCAATTTTCTGCGAACACACCGCTCACAACCGTACCTTCTTTTTAGATTATATCTTTGTCTTACTTAATTTCCTTTTCAACAAGCTATCACACGCTCAATTCGGAGCTCATTTGCTCCGGTTATCGCCGTTTGAAGTTGGATAAGCAAAATAGCCAACCAACCCCCAAAACAGCTCTAAACCTCTCTCACTCCACGAATTACTGCACTCAATCCACTTATTCAATTGCTCTCAAATTTTTACACCATAAACTAGACACCTCAATCTTAGATTTGATATATCATACGCTTATTTTTAATGAGAAACGAAGCGGGAATTAATTTCCCAAAACTGGACCAGAACTGCCACATGTGCAGTGGGCACATGAGCAGTCTGCGTTCCTCCAATTTTTCCAGGTCTAAGACAAACCCAGAATTTCCTCAAATTTTGACACAACTTAGAGGACATCTCAGCCTTCAAAATGGCGTATGGTACGTCCTTATTGGACCTCTATGGAGGGAGACATGCTCTCCCGAAGTTCGCCTAAAATCTGCCAATTCTACAGAAAATTCGCCAGAGTTTCCTTTGTGTTTCCAATAATCCCAAATTTGTTAAAGATCATTTAAGCCTCAAATGTACCTAATAGACACATGATAATACAGTAATAATCCAATGGGTGGCACACACAAAGACCAACAATGCCTTGGGGCACTTACAACCTAATCCAATTTATATTTATTAAAACGATAGCTTACTTTAAATCCATATATAGTTGCAATCACTCAATCCAATTTCATGCATATTCATCATACAATTACTCATAACCTAAAATAGGCCTAAAGCCCTTCCATCATACCATGTCATGCATCAAGTACAATTACAATATTTGCTTTACAACTTACAACTTGAAACTTTAACTTTAACTTACATTCTTCCAATATTACAACTTACATACAAATGACAACATAACCAAATACATAACTACTAGACTTAGGCAAAATGGCATGAACAAATATGCTAATGAAGCTCATACCACATACATATGAGATGTTCATGCCCTAAGTCTAGCCTAGGCCACACGGCCAACAAAATGCAAAATGTGAAGCACTATACTGCTCACTCTGCGGGCCTCTTGCCCGCTGCTCGGGCTCCACTGCTACCTCCTGAAATAAATGCCCAGAGACGGGGTGAGATATATGAATATATCTCAGTAACCAAGAGGTTCTGGAGAAAAATCCACCCAATGATTCACTTCGATGCATATCAATAGAATAAAATAACCACTTTGAAAACGGGATATAGCAAGGGATTTAGAGAAACTGGGGGATATCGGAATACAAAATACGACGATGCGGGATGGTAGCTACCAATACCACGCACGCCCTGGGCATATATAAGCCTATGGGTCAACCCAAGGTGTGATCAAATCACTGCCACCAAGGTACCCATTCCATCAAGCCCATGGGTCCACCCAAGGTGTGATCAAATCACTACCCCCAAGGTACCCATTCCATCTATAACACCTGAGATATTCCTAGTGTGCTCCTATCCGGATCACACACTATGACCCTCGGTCAAATGGAACTCCCTCTCGGAGACCTATCCAGTGGAAGTCCGCACTGCCCGCAGGCTAAACTAGTCTACTGGCCAGAGACTCGGTACATAAGTACCCACTGTGATATATGCATGCATGCCAATGCTGTTCTACACTACTCATACACACTTTCTACCGTTGCCATCAACTGGAAAGGTGGAACAGAAAAGGGGAACAAGCCCCAGTACCAAGAGGTTACCTTAAATATTGTTTTCACAAGCTCCGCAGCAGCTTATCCCTCAACTCGGTACACAGCAGAATGCCTACACAGAGGACATTCCCAATCACTTATAGTTCAACCAATACATGCTAATTTGCAATTATACATGCATTGAACCAATTACTTACCTCAATCCTCTTGGTCCCGGACCAAGGGCAGCTCACTGATTCAAGATTCGGGATTCAGGTCGACGTACGACAACCTATACAATGACATACAACCATCAGTACGCATCGAATAACGTCAAAACGCCTAAATCACCTCACTCACACTTGGTAGGTTCGGCCATCCTAGGCTTATTTTCAATTTTATTTTTCTAAATTTTCTTTCTCATTTTATTACGCCTCAATATGTTGCCAAGAGGTCAGTTCAAGTGCCGTTTCGCGATTTTCGCGTCGAATTAGAAACTCTAATTTTTAACATTAACTATTCTCCTTTAATTATGCTTGATCAGATGAATCCAGAGTCCTCCATTCGTTCGGAGAAAACACTGTTTTAAGCTATTGCGCGCGCCGTTGGCACGCATCCCCAAAATGACTTACTTTCATCAGATTTTATCAACAATCATATTTCCTAACTCAATAGACCATTTGTAATTCATATTTGAAACCTAGAGCTCAAAATTCAGCTGGCACGTTTTATGGTGTAATCGAAACGCGGTATTTTTACCCGCGAAAAACACTATTCACTGATTTTTCTGAAACTTGCCTGTCAACTCAATTTTTCATTATGAACCCATTTCCAGGGTTATTTTTATCATCTGAGACCTTCTACTCAATTTTTATCCTCCTAGGGTTGTGTGTTGGCTAATTACCATTTTGCCCTTTCTTTGTATTTTGGCCTAATCTTTAGGATATTCACTAATCCATCACTTGATTGCTCACTTAATATTTTAATTACTTGATTTACAATTGTGAAGTGTTATAATAAACTCTTGGTCTTTGACCAACAACTTGCATAAAGGCTTGGCAATTTTTGAAAAATCTTTAATGAACCGCCTATAAAATCCTGCATGACCAAGAAAACTCCTCACACCTTTGACATTGACAGGTGGAGGAAGTTTCTCTATCACATAGATTTTTGCCTTATCTACTTCTATTCCTCTCCTAGACACCTTGTGTCCAAGAACATTTCCTTCAGTCACCATGAAGTGACATTTTTCCCAGTTCAAAACCATATTACAATCTTGAAAACTTTTTAAAACAGAATCCAAATTTTCCAGACATGCATCAAAATCAGAACCAAATACAGAAAAATCATCCATGAAGATTTCTATATATTTCTCTACCATATCAGAAAAAATGGACAGCATGCACCTTTGAAAAGTGGCAGGAGCATTGCATAAGCCGAAGGGCATCCTCCAGTATGCAAAAATTCCATATGGGCATGTAAATGCGGTCTTCTCTTGATCCTCCGGAGCCACAGCTATCTGGTTGTAACCTGAGTAGCCGTCCAAGAAACAATAGAAGGCATGTCTTGCCAACCTCTCCAACATCTGATCCAAGAACGGAAGGGGAAAATGGTCCTTCCTTGTTGCCTTGTTCAATCTCCGATAGTCAATGCACATCCTCCAGCCAGTAATTGTTCTTGTGGGAATCAGTTCATTCTGCTCATTCTTCACCACAGTCATTCCTCCTTTCTTGGGTACTGTTTGAACAGGACTCACCCAAGCACTGTCTGAGATAGGATAAATCATCCCAGCATCAAGTAGCTTCACAACCTCCTTCCTCACTACCTCTTTCATAGTGGGGTTGAGTCTTCTCTGTGGTTGCCTTACTGGTTTGACTTCCTCTTCCATCAAGATTTTGTGGGTGCAGAAAGAAGGATTGATACCTTTAAGATCTGAAAATTGCCATCCCATAGCTGTTTTATTCTTCTTGAGTACCTTAATCAACTTCACTTCTTCACTCTCAGATAACATTGCATTGATGATTGCTGGATATGTTTGATCATCCCCAAGGAACACATACTTCAGATTTGAAGGTAGTTCTTTAAGCTCTACCTTAGGTGCTCCCACAGGAATGTCATCTATCTTCTTATCAAGCTCTTCCACTACCGGTTCCTCTTGATAATTTTCTGTACATGTCTCCTCAATAAATCTGTCTTCCTCCAATGAAAAGTCTTCTTCTCTATTCACTTCTTCCACCATCTCTTGTATGACATCAATACTGAAACAATCCTCCACATCAACAGGATGTTTGATGGCTTCAAAGACATCAATTGTAACTGTTTCTTCTTCCACCCTTAGCATCAACTTCCCTTGTTCAACATCTATCTGGGATCTTGTAGTTGCTAAGAATGGTCTTCCTAGGAGTAAAGGACTTTCAGTATCCTCTTCCTCCATATCAAGTATCACAAAATCCATAGGAAAAATAAACTTGTCCACCTTAACCAACACATCTTCTACTAATCCTTCTGGTCTTTTGATAGATCTATCTGCTAGATGCAGAATAACATTGGTATCCTTCAACTTATTTATCCCCAATGCCCTACAGACAGACAATGGCATCAAATTTATACTTGCCCCCAAATCACATAGTGCTTTACCAACTTCCACATCCCCAATTGCAATTGAAATGCTAAAGCTCCCTGGATCCTTCAACTTTGGAGGTAATTTCTTCTGAATCAGAGCACTACATTCCTCCGTCAAAGCCACTGTCTCACCATCCTTTAACTTCCTCTTCTTAGATAGAAGATCCTTCATAAATTTTGCATAGTGAGGCATGTTCTCCAGGGCTTCAGCAAATGGTATGTTTATCTGCAATTTCTTGAAGATATCCAGAAATCTTGCATAGCGCTGAAACTGAATCTCTTGCTTCAATCTATGAGGGTAAGAAACTTTGGCATATGGAGACAAAGTAACTGGCTGGTCCTGCTTGTCAGCCATCTTCTTCTTCTCCCACTTCATTGTCTTCTTGGGCACACCATCTCTACCTCATCATCAGAGACTACATTTTCCTTCACCTTCTATACCTCATCATCAGCAACTACCACCTCTTTTTCTTCCTTATTTTCCTTCACTGTTTCTTTTTCTTTATTTTCCTTCACCTTCTCTACCTCATCATCAGAGACTACATTTTCAACCACAACCTCTTCTTCATCCTTCTTATCTTCCACATTCTTTTTCACCTGTTGAAGCACCAACCCACTTCTTGTCATGATTGCTTTGCAGTGCTCCTTAGGATTCACCATTGTATCACCAGGAAACTTCTCCTGTGGTCTCTCAGATATCTGTCTTGATAGCTGACCAATCTGGGTCTCCAGATTCCTGATAGATGCTTCCTGATTTCTGAATGAAGTCTTGGTCTCTTGCATGAATGCAAATGTTTCCTCTCTGAATGAATTAGACCCCTGAATGTAATCTTGAATAGTCTTGGATAACTGAGCAAAGGTTTTTTCCCATGCAGTAGTATCACTTGGTTGTGATGAGTGTGTTGGAGGAGGATGCAGTGGAGGATTCAACTGATGGTTGGAACTATAACTAAACCCTGGGTGCTGATTCTTGTTCTTCCATGGTGGCACATACATATTTCGCCCCTGGTTGTTGTAATTCCTCTGGTTGTTGTTGTCATACCACACTCCATTAACCTCTGCTTGTTCTGGTGATCCCCCATAGTCACATTCCTCTGTCACATGGTCTTTGCCACAGATAGCACACACACAATTGGTATCCACAGAAGCAACCTTTTGTGAGGATAGTTGCTTAGTGAGAGCATCCAACTATTGTTGTTGTTGTTTCTGTGTCTGCATCAACTGGTCATTCTTTGCCAACAAAGCATCATACCCATCCAGCTTGATGATCCCTGTCTTTCTGTCAGTCACTGGGGCATTATCAAATTCCTGAGATGCCAATGATTCAAAAATATCCAAAGCTTCTTGAGGAGTCTTGGTGGTCAATGAACCACCAGCAGTGGCATTCACCAATGTCCTAGTATTGGTGGTCATCCCTTGTAGGAAGATTGCTGCTTGATTCCACACCTTTATTCCATGCTGTGCACATTTCCTCAATAAAGTCTTGAATCTCTCCCAAGCCTCATAAATGGATTCTGATTCTTTTTGCTTGATGCCTGTGATCTCATCCTTCAACTTTGCCCTCTTGGATGCTGAAAAGAATCTGGCCAAGAACTTGGTTTGCAGATCATCCCAAGTTGTTATACTCCCCTGAGGCAATGATTGCAACCATCTCCTTGCATCATCCTTCAGTGAATGAGTGAATAGTCTCAACAAGATTGCATCCCTTGTGACACCGTTAATTTTCACAGTATCACTCAACAACAGAAAATTTTCTATATGCAAGTAAGGGTCTTCTGCACTGGTTCCAGCAAACTGCTCCTTCTGCACTAACTGTACCAATGCAGGCTTCAATTCGAAGTTATTTGGCTCTGCTGTAAGGCGCACAACACTACAAATTGGAGGAATCCCTGCAGGATTCATGTAATCTCCCAGTGTCCTCTGTGGTGGTTGCACATGATTTTCTACCATAATTTCTACTTGGTTGACAGCACTAGATTTACCCCTTTCTTGAAACTGTCTTCTTTGTCTTGCTGCCCTTCTTTTCTTCCTCAAAGTCTTTTCTAATTCTGGATCATACAACAAGAAGTTTGGATCAATAGTACCTCGCATACACCAGAATCAAAATTGACCAGAAATTTAACACAAAATAAAATGCTGAAAATAAAAGGATTCAATCTCAGATTTCTATGGTATCAATCAATGTTGAAAAACAAATCCCCGGCAACGGCGCCAAAAACTTGTTGCGGATCTAGCAAGTGTACTAGTCGTACAATTAATAAAATGATGAGTAAAGATCGTTCCCACAGAGATTTATATTCAAACACCAATTAACCATAGAAAACTAATTTGAATCAAACAAGAGTTTGTAAAAATCATGAATGTTTTGTCACCAGAAAATTGATTTGAAGTAACAGAATATAATGCTAAAATCTGAATTAAGATTTAATAAAAACAAGTAGTCAGAAAACAACTTCCCTCAACAATAATCTCATGTAAAAACTGACCATATGATGAATTCTTTTTCATGTGATGTTAATCAACCTTTTACTTATCATCAAGATGTAATCCCTTACTACCCTGATAGATACATTAATCAGAAACCCCAATCATTTCTTAATACATACATTAAACACTAAAGTCTTAAGATTACATCAGAACTGTAGGATCAATCCCTTGAGTACTAGAATCCTGATGATGAGATTGCCAAATATAGGAGTAGTGTAAACATTAATGTTCTACACTACTCCCTTAGTAGAAAGAATTGAATAAGAAAATCTCATATCAACACATGAAAAATACTTCATCATAATAATCAAACATACATAAGATTATCATTAAGTTCCATTGAATTCAGACCACAATGACTCTACTCAGACATAACTAAAGAATACACAAGAGAAGAAAGATCAAACTCCATTGCCATGCAGTGAATCTTCAATCTCCAAGTACAATTACATAAGAAACTGACTAATACAAGAACTAAGTCCTAAGAATTTTAGAAAGAAATCAGATCAGAGAATCTGATGTAAGAGAGAGAGAGAGAGAGAGAGAATCCAGATCTTTAAAAATGTGAAGGCCCTTGCCTTACATAGTTTTACAAATTCAAACAGAAAAACTAACATGGGCGCTAAAACGTTCATGAGTGAGCAGTTTAGCGACCATGCTTGACGTATGCCCAATGCTTTTAACTATCTTGAACGCTAAAACGTTCATGAATGGCCGTTTTAGCGTCCATGTGCGGTGAAAGCTCAACTGTCTCCAACACTAAAACACTTGGTTTGGACGTTTTAGCGTTGGAGACCAGAGTATTTTTCCAACAGCAGGGCACTAAAACGCTTGATCAAGGAGTTTTAGCGCCCAAGACCAGCAACATTTTGTCCTCGGATTGCAGCAGCGCGCTAAAATGCTCTGTGTGGACGTTTTAGTGCTCAGCACCAGCAAGTTTTGGCTTCTTTCTGCAGCAGGGCGCTAAAACGTTCTGGATAAACGTTTTAGCGCTCAACACTTAGAATTTTTCTCTTCTTCAGAATCTTCTTCCTTCTCCCAGCTGCCTTTTAATCTTGCTTTTCCTACAAGAATAATACAAATTTTCAATAAAAATTCTTGAACTTGTAGTTGAGGACATTCTAAGATATTAACCTCTTTTTCCATCATTTAATCACACAGATTGATACTAATTCATGCTGAAAAACCTGATGAACTAAGGGTTTATCAGTAGTTCATTTTTTGATGAGACCATGATTACTCATTGGTTAAGTTTATGAAGTTGAGCTATTATTTGAAATTGAGCAACCTAGCCACTATTTCTGAGTTGTTTGAGGACAACCAACAGTTTAGTTTTGGGGTGTTTGATGGAACAAAAACTCGTTCTCATCTAAGCCCATTTTTGTGGTAAAATACCATCTGTTCCCTAATCTGATGAGCAACTTTTGCATTAAAAACACATGTTTATATCTTTGTTACAAAAACACAGTGGGGAACAGATGATGATGTAATCATTTGAGAAATATAGATAAAAGGGAACGGATTAGGAACATTAAATACACATTCTCCACTAACTCAATCTCTATGTACACTTTGCAGGTAATGTTGAAAAGAAGCTTCCATAAAGCATAAGCAGTACAACAATCAAGCAGGAAGAAACGTGTACAACAGAGAATAAAGAGTTCCTATTGGCTAAGAGGAAAGCAAGGCATGGGTTAATGCAGAAGAAAAGGAAAATCTCAACAATAAGTTTCCCATCCAGCAACTTGCGTCCCTCTGAGCACTGTTCACACCGCCCCTTCCATGCAGTCAAGAAAATAACTCAAAGGAAATTACAATTTTGCCACCCACTCTTCTACCTATAAATAAGACGTTCCAACACGAAGAAACCATCGAATTCCTTAAGAAGAGATCACTTAATTTATTTGTAGTTTTCTTTTCAGTAGTACAGTTTAGCAATAGTTAAGTGACAACACTCTTTCTCTATTCTATATCACCACTTGAGACTCCTCACGAGCAACAACCATACTTCTCCATTTTATTTTCTTGTAACCTAACTGTTTATTATTAATATAAGTTGTTATTTCTTTTCTCTTCCATTCGTTATCTCTGAACTGAATCTCGGGTCTATGGAACTTCAGTTTGGAATAATTATGTTTATTGTTATAGCCATGGGCTAAGTTATTTGTGGAACGGAAAAACTGTGAAGTTCTTAAAGAACTATTTTCAAAACTCTTGTACTAAAGCTTTTTTATTTCTGTGATTAAGTGTGCTATATTCATTGAGTACCAATGGAAATTGAACTTATACTGGGAAAGGAACTTCCATAAGGAAGGGATTTCAGACAGCTTAATTAGAGGGGGAAGGTATTGTTGTGAAAACAACAATACTGGTTGCCTTAGGAATAAGAGACCACCTCTTTCACTGAAGGTTCTGTACCTAGTAACTGTTGGAGTCAAGGGAGCCATAAGAATATGGAAACATGTGAGCCATTAAAGTCCATGAGCTGAGAAATTAGAGTTGGCAGCGAAGAGACTTGAACAAATTCAGAAGGGTTAAGTCCTGAGTGGAGAATATAGCTATTTAAGAATGGAACAGTGGATCCGTTCCTTGTGTTAAAAACTGTTTTATCCATCCACCTTGTTGTCTCTTAAATATTGTTTTTTATTATTATTATCTTTTTTAAATCTTGTGACAACAACAACCAATATCCAATGAATATTGTTGTTCCTTCTCTCATCAAGAAAGATTTCATATATAACGATGCGAGGAGCTGTTTTCAGTTACATTGAACCTACTATTCTTGAGGAACGTTGTCAAGATAGGAGGGAACGTTTGACCAATCAGATCAATTACTAAACTTTCTTTTCATTTTTATTCTTTTTAAAATAGTTTAAGGTATAATTTAGAGCTCTATCCTCGTTGGAACAATAATCTGGGCATTAATAGTCCATTTATTACTTGATGCATGCACTTGCTCACTTGGGTTGAAGTCAAGAGAACAAATGTGTTTTCTCTTGATGAACTGAATTAAGGGAACGTCCTTTACATGAACATCTAAGAAATCAACAGGTTCGCACCCAACAATAGAGATAGATATAGATAAAGAGAGAAAAGAGATATGATGGAACAGGAATGGTCTGAGCCAAAACCATGCACCCATCCGGCCCACTGGCCTCCTGCATACAACATACGGGCTTTCACCCAAGAATGTGTTCCTAGAACATCATTCAAGACACCCCTAACTATAACTTCCGAGACATTCCTAGAGTGCTCCTCAACGGATAACATCTCTACGGCCCCAGGCCAACTGGAACTCCCTACGGAGGCCTCTACAGTGAAAGTCTCCATGCCATACGACAACTATCTACTGGCAAGAGATACGGTACAACTCTATGTACCCCACATCAACACAATGCATGATCATGTTATGATTACACTATTAAATCAAACAACTTCCAACCACTACCTCAATGGGCATGGTGGCGCACACACGGGGATTAATCCCGGTACCAAGAGATTACCTTTTTAAAACTCCCAAGCTAGGTAGCTTCAAATACAAGTTACATTGTAACTTACTCCAACCAAGAAATGCCTGAACAAAAGGTCATTTCCACAACACTTAGTACCACAAAGACCACTCAATTGGTCATATAAGCAATCATGCAAAAAGTGATCCAATCACTTACCAATATTCTTTTGGTCAAGGACCAAAGGCAATCCACCAAACATCAATCTTCAAGAATTAAGTCTGTGGAAGACAACCTACAATAATCACAACGTTGGATCATCAATCAACTTGTCACACAATTCAAAATACAAGACAATGAACTCCCCGTTCACCCCCCCACTTAATCAATTAGGCCCTTAAGGCCAATTTTACAAGTTCATGTTGTTAGGTTTCTTAGCCTATCACAACACCGTATCAAGCTCCCAATTGCATTTAATCATAACTCAACCTCATTTTTCCTAATTTTTCTCATTGAGGCTGAATCCAAGACAACCAACCAATGGCTAGGGATTTTTTTCATAAACTCAAAGTATCATACACCCACACAAACCACTTAAATTTGATTCAAATCAACACAAGTCCAATTATACAATTTTTGCATCTAGGGGTGCTAAACAAACCAGGGCCTTTGACTCAGGTCGTGAAGGCCTAAGCTTACATGTCTAAAATTGGTTGTTGGAACCAGGATTGGACTTGTATAAAAGCTCGTTTAATAAAAAGGCCTCAGGCTTCAATTGAAAAGCTCGGCCTTAGAGCCTCTCAGGCAGGCTTAGTATATTAATTTTTATTTTATAATTTTTATACTGCTTATAATAGTCCCCTCTCTCTCTCTTCAATCCATTTCGCCTCATTTTATTAGTTAAACAGATTTTTTGAATAATTTCATTCTATATTATGTTGTTTGGATATACATTGAATTTATGAACATTTATGGAATTATTAGTGTTGTTGATTGTATATTCTGTTTGGATAA